TAGACACGAGACCTCTCATACGCTCATGGGGGCCTACTGGAACGCGTCCCCGGATCCTTTTGGAAGCATTGTGGGGGACTCTGGGGCCTCTCTGGGCCTTCAATCGAAATCCTTTAAAGTCTTTTTCGGCCGATCTGGGGGCCCATTTCGGCCGTCGTGGGTTCCTCTCGGTCCGTCGTGGGGAGCTCAGCCTGTCTTGGGGCCCTCTTGGGGCCTTCTCCGACCATGCAGGGATCCTCTGGTGGCCCCCGCGGGCCCCCTTCTGGACTCTCTTAGGCCATCTCGGAAATCTTGCGTTGCTTGAAGCTCTCTTGAGGCCGTCTTGGGGTCTTTTGGGGCCGTCGGGGCTGATTTGGGGACCCTTTGGGGCCGTCGTGGCCGCTGTAAGGACGGAGAAAACGAATCTGAAAATTATCCCGGCAAATCAACCTAACAGCGATGTGTAGAAGCATAGCTGGAAACATTGCCTGTGGTATTCATGTAAGAGTGCTGTTGTGGAATTCTGGTGTTCTCGCAGTCGCATTCGGAGTCGCAGTGACAGTCGCAGTGGCAACATCAGCGGCAGTCGCAGTGGCACTGCCAGTAGTTGCAATAGCAATAGCTACACTAGCAGCAGCAACAGCAGCAGCAGCAGTAATAGTAACAGTAGTAGTAGCAGTAGAAGTAGTAGCGATGGTAGTAGTGGTAACAGTGAAGTAGTAGTTGTAGTGTGTGGAGTGAACGAGTAGGAGTGATGGGAGCAGTGGTAGTAGCAGTAGAAACACTGCTTTCGATAACGGTATCTCCAAATGAAATCTTGGTATAAATGCATTGAGGTCTAAACAAGACACTGCTATCAACGGATGTGGCTCCAAACGAGACACTGCTATCAACGGGTTGAGCCTCGAACGACACACTTGCATCAATGAGTGTAGCTACAAAACAGGCACTCCCGTGAATGGATTTAGTGTGATGTCGTAGTAGTAGTAGTAGTAGTAGTAGTAGTAGTAGTAGTAGTAGTAGTAGTAGTAGTAGTAGTAGTAGTAGTAGTAGTAAGTAGTAGTATGGGCACGGACCCGTAAGACCTGAGTCTCCACCGGGGTGCTCGGCGAAGCCATTGATGATGATGATGTGATGATTGAGGAAGATGATGGGATGATGACCGCGCTACTTGGATTTGTTCTGTCCGGACTTTCTCTGCCAGCTGCCGCTCTGCGAGGCTACGCCCGGCATGCTCCTTCGGGTGGCGGCCGAGGTCTCGCACTTGCTGCATGAGCTCCTCGGTCTTGTCTCGCTTTTGCTGCATGAGCTCCTCGGTCTTCTGTTTCCGCTTGAGCTCCTCGGTCTCCGTCTGCTGATCAGCACAGCCCAGGGCCCGCAGTTCATGCATAATGTTTTCGGGGATGCGGTCGCGATGGTCCGAGAAACGTTTGGCCAACTTGTTTTCGGCCCGTTCTTGTTCGGACGTTCCTTTATTTCGCTTCGGTATCCGGCCGAACTGCTTCACGTGCTCGACGAGCGTTTGCAGAGGACCGCTCAATGCAGCACGCTGAAGAGCAGCGCTGTTCCCTGCCGCAGGCTGAGGAGCACCGCTGTTCAATGCGGCAGGGTCAGGAGCACCGCCGCCAGACCGAGAACTATCAGCATGTCCTGGCATTAAGGTGTGCAGTAGGCGCTGCGCAGTTCCTTTGAAAGGAAATCTTCGAAAGCAAGGCTTTAGCCAAGAAGGCTACGGGGACGATGATGATGATGAAAATGATGAGTCTTGGAAGTCTGGGAAGTGGAAGAGCACGAAGTGGCGTACAGTTGGCTCCGGGCATTCGAAATTTTGCCCGGGAGTTGAGTTCTGGGAAATGGAAGAGCACGAAGTGGCCTACAGTTGGCTCCGGACATCCAAAATGTGGCCCGGGAATTGTGTTCTGGGAAATCCGAGTGCACGAAGTGGCCTACAGTTGGCTCCGGGCATCCAAAATGTGGCCCGGGAATGGAGTTCTGGGAAGTCGAAGAGCACGAAGTGGCCTACAGTTGGCTCCGGGCATCCAAAATGTGGCCCGTGAGTGGAGTTCTGGGAAGTCGAAGAGCACGAAGTGGCCTACAGTTGGCTCCGGGCATTCAAAATGTGGCCCGGGAGTGGAGTTCTGGGAGGTCGAAGAGCACAAAATGTGCGACCGTTTGCTTAAAACGAGCCCGGCCCTCGCCTGTCCGGCTCCCGCCCAGACCCCCCTGGGGAGTCATCAGATGCTCTCTTTTGACCTCATTAGAAACCTATCAATCTTCGCTGTTAGGTAAATATACGCTTGTCCAATGGAAATGCTGGATTTCTGCCCTTGGGGGGCCTTCTCGGCGGCCTCTTGGACCGTCTTGAATTAATCCTTTTGAGCCGTTGTTGGCCCGTGTGGGGGCCTATTTCGGCCGTCCCGGGTCCGTCTTGGCATGTCATGGCGAGCTGAGCCGTCTTGGGGCCCTCATGGAGCCCTCTCCGACAATGTAGGGATCCTCCAGTGGCTGCCTCGGGCCTCCTGGGGACTCTCTCGGGCTGTTTTGGAACTCTCTTGTGCTGCTCGACGCTCTCTTGAGGCTGTCTTGGAGCCCTCTTGGGGGCCTCGTGGTGTGGCGCCGATTTAGGGAGCCTTTGGGGCCGACGGGGCCGCCGATGGAACATAAGAAGCGAATATTGTAGAAACGTACGTGTTTCCATGGGAAATGCTCTTTCTTTGCACCCGGGAGCCTTCTCAGCGGCCTCCTGGACCATCTTCACGGAGCCCTGGTACGCCTTTTTGTTGGACCCTCTGGGAGCCCAGCTCGGCCGTTCCGTGTCCCTCCTCGCCCGGCGTGGGGACCTGCCCCCGTCTTGGGGCCCTCAGGGGGCCCTCTCCGACCATGTGGGGACCCTCCGGTGTCCCCCTCGGGGTTTCTGGGTACTCAGGCCGTCTGGGGCCCTCTTGGGGGCCTCTTGGGCCGTCTGGGGCTCATTTTGGGAGCCTCTGGGGCCGTCGTGGCCGCTGCGCTGGCAGGACTGAAAAAAACAAACATCCAGGAAAAATATGCGTTTTTCCATCGGAGACGCTTGATTGTTGCCCCTGGAAGGCCTTCTCGGCGGCCTCTTGGACCGTCTTGAGTGCCTTTGTGGCCGTCTAGGAGCAGTCTTGGGCTGTCTTCGAGCGCTCGTGACCCGTCCCGAAGCCATCTCAATGTCTTGGGGGCCATCTTGTGCGTCTCGGAGCGACCTGTGCGTCTTGGAGCGGCCCTTGGGCGTCGCGGGTCCCTCTTGGAGCGTCTTCGGGTTTTCTTGGCGCTTTCTGGTGGCGTTTTGTTGGCCCTTGGGGCCCCCCAAGGGCCTGCACACACAAACACACACACACACACATTTGCTGTCGAAGTCGCGGCCCCGGGGGCCCGGTCCGCGGTGTGTCGTTATGTCAATAGAGAAGGAGAGAGAAAGAGAGAGAGAGACAGACAGAGACAGAGAGAGAGAGGAAGAAGAGAGAGAGAGAGAGAGTGAGAAAACGAGAGAGAGAGAGAGAGGAGAGTGAGAGAGATAAAAAAGAGAGAGGGGGCAGGGAGGGAGAGGGAGATGCGTCTACCCTCCCAACGTGGGAATTGTACCTGAGACGTCCCACCAATCTGGACGCGAAGGGGCGGGAGGCCCATGTGCGATGCCTGCTACGTTGCAGTGATCATGGAGCCCTGAAGAGAAACGCAGGGGCCCTCCAAGACGGCAAATCTGAAGGCGCCCAAGGACACACGAATAAATGCACACAAATCCTAGGACCCCCCACGTGTCCCCATAACTTCAATGTTTTCGTCTTCTCCCCGACTCACCATATCTTCTAATATCTTCCGGGGGATCGAAGACTATTTGTGTCTGTGTGTTTTTCCCCCTTCTTCGGCACCGCCTGTACCCCGCACCCTCTGGCCGCCTGAGGCCCCGCCCGCCCGCGCCCTGTCTCCCCAATCAGTGCTCCGCGCGCGCCGCCTAGCTCTTAACCAGAAGAGGCCCGCTCTCGACCCGCCGACCAAAAAAGGTTTTTCCCCCCTTCTCCTCCTCCTCCTTCTCCTCCTCCTCCTCCTCCTCCTTTTCCTCCCCCTCTTCCTCCTCCTCCTCCTCCTCCTCCTCCTGTGTCTGTGTGTTTCTCCCCCTCCGGAAGTTCCACTCGAGAGGTCCCACACGTCTGGGCGCGAACGAGCCCGCGCCGCGTGCATTGCCAAGTGGGCCTCCTCCTCGTCCTCCTCCCTCCCCCCCCCTCCCTCCTCCTCCTCCTCCTCCTCCTCCTCCTCCTCCTCCTCCTCCTCCTCCTCCTCCTCCTCCTCCTCCCCCTCCTCCTCCCCCTCCTCGTCCCCTACCTCATCCTCCTCCCCTGTCTTGGGGGGCCCTCTCGGGGCAGACTTGGTCGCCTCTCGGGCCTCCTCCTCCTCCTCCTCCTTCTCCTCCTCCTCCTCCTCCTTCTCCTCCTCCCCCTCCTCCTCCTCAAGAGGCCGCCAAGACGGGCAAAGAGGCCCCCAGCACAGCTCAAGAAGCTCTGCGAGACCAGGCAGAATAAAACCCTGAACACAGGCCCAATAACTTCGGGCAGAAGCCTCAAGAGAGACCCCACGGGGCCTCTCCCGCTGCTCCCGCGGTGTGAAAAGCGCGCACCTGCACGCGCCCCATCCGCAAGTCTCAAGCACGATCGGGCTCCACGACGGCCCTGGAAGAGCACAAAGGAGCCGTCCCGTGCTCCAAGACGACCGGAGACGGCCCCGAGAGGGCCGCTCGACGGGCCGACGTGGCTCCAAGAGGGCCTCAAGCTGACCCGAGAGGCGATCAGGAGTGCCAAGAACGCCCCCCTAGAAGCACAGCGCGATGCTTTCAAATCGGCCCAAGAAGAGCAGAAGAGGCCGCGAAGATGCCTGGCAGGTTCCCGAAACGGTCCAGGAAAAAGTACCTCAAGCCCCCCAGATTGCTTTTCCAAGACGGCCCCCAAGGGGCCCCAAATGTGCCAAGAGATATACAGGATAACAGCGAGGACTCGCTTAGCATGTTCGTCGACTGTTTCTGTAACTGCTCGGGGACTCGCAGGCGGCCCTACGGCCGAACCATGTCCCGTTGTTGGACCACGTAGGTCTTGACAAAAAGACGGGGGACAGCGATGGCTTGCTGGAGGCGCCTTTGATAAAGCAGACGCGCATTGCAAGCCACGGGCATTAAACGCAAGCAAAGCGGCGTTCCGGACGCTCTATTAATCAAGCTCTCAGACCAGACGCGCCAGCCTCCACGCAAGGCGGGCGCGTCGCCGCTCTCCAGCTGTGAAGACTGCGGCTCCAAACACCTGCATCGTCGACATCTATGTTTGTCAGCAGATCTTCAAGACGACTTCGAGCATCAGGGCAGACGGCCAGCTGACGCTCGATGCTGACAACGAGATCCTCAATCTGCGCCTTGTCTCCCAGTTCAGAGCCTTGCACGATACGGATGAGTGACCGGAGTGTGCGGCTGGGCCCAGGGCTCGACAGCGCCCAAACAATAGCATAGTCTTCCCTGACACGCAGAACAATCGTGCCGTCTTCGTTCGACTCTAAGCACAAGAACTTCAGCTCTATAAGCCTGCGCGTTGCTGCGTCGTGGTCCTGCACTAGACTTCGCTGAGCCTCCTCGCCAAAAAGAAGGCTCAGCAAACATTCGACGCGCAGAAGGAGCTGCTCTGCACGCTCAACTGAAGTATAAGCGCTGGGGCGTCCAAGGCCAAGCCGCTCCGATACCATTTTGGCAGCTTTGTCAATTGCCAACCAAATGGCCTTTTCGAGCGAGCGGCCTGCTCCAATCTCGTACAGCATGAAGTTGGCCATGGCAGGCGCGTGCTGAAACAGCTCCGCAATGCGCGCGCCCAGTCGGCGACGGTCGCACCCTGTGAGGATTCTGACGCGGTCCTCTACTTCCTTAACCCTTACAGCCGGAGGACACCTGGCACTGTACTGGTCCTGTAGTACGTGAAGCGGTGGGGCTGGGCAGAAAATTGTATTGCAACAAGTGGTCAGCCCTTGGGACGGAAACACATGCTGGAGAACTGCTGTGTTATTGCACACCACCACTACGTCTGCATGCCGCGAGGCATCAATCATCAACCAAAGAAACCACGATGAATCGTAATTGTGGTACGGGTCTTGCTTGAACAAATTTTCCGCATGATTCAACACAATAACGGGCTTGTCCTGGCATCCTCGAAAAAAAGGCCCAGCCCACAGGCGCAGTGCTACAGGTAAAACTGTACGTATGTCCAGGTTCAGAGGAGAACAGAACTTTGCAAGGACACTAGTTTGGGCAATTATCGACTCAACTACCAAACTGTTCAAGTGATCTGGGTTTTGCAAGGCAAGCAAATCTAAATCCAACACTGTGCCGCGAGGCACTGAGTGGAGTGTCCTCACGTCCCTTCGAATTCTTTGTGATGAATACTGCAAGTGCCCTTGAAGGGGGTCCAACGGCCTCATGGATGGATTCCTGGGGGCTCCCCGCGCGACGTTTGGGATTCGTCGCGAGACTTCTGGGGCGCCCCGCGTGACTTCTGCCGAAGCCACAAGCCGCTGAGAAGCATTGCTTTTTCCATGCTTTCAGCCCCGGAAGGGGGGATCCCGAACTGGCTGCTCGGGCCCTCTTGTGCCAAGATGCCTGGCGAGACCCGCTAAGAGGCTCCAGAGAGGCCCCCAGAGGCGCCCAAGAGGCCCACCAGAGGCCCCACGAGTCCAATAAGCCCTCCCAAGAGACATCCCAAGAGACCACGCGAGGCATTTAAGAAGACTAGGAGCCACAAGCCAGGGCGAACTGCAAAGTCGAGGAGGATCGCCTCCAAGATGGCCAACATTGCCTTCAAGTTTGCCCAAGACGGTCCAAGATGGCCTCCAAGACAGCCCAAGAGAATTCAAGAGGCCTCCACGTTCGCCCAAGATGTCTCCAAACCTGCCCAGTGTGGCCCCAGTGCTGCCATGTTCTGCCCAAAGCGGTCTCAAGACGGTCTGAGAAGCCTCCAGGGGGCCCTCCAGGAGGGCCCGGAGAGGCCCACAGCATGGATTCCCAAACAGTGTTCCAACGATTTTCGCGCTCTCAGCCTTTCAGGGCTTCCGACAAACGCGGACGGCCCCAAGGGTGTCCAAGATAACCCCAAGTCGGCCCGAATAACCAAGACAGCACCAAGAAAGCGCCAAGACAGGCCAAGATGCTCCAGGACGGTTCATGAGACCTCCAAGACGGCCCTAATTCAAGAGGTCACCAAAACGACGCACAGGGGCCTTCAAGACCGCCTTCGCAGGCGCCCGACGTCGCACGAAAGCTTCAGGACGGCCCAGGAAGCCCCCCAGAGGCCCCCAGCGGCCCCCAGCAGACAAGCGCGAAAGTTTCCTGAACTTGCGGAAGCCCCATTTTCCAAGCTTCTTGGACTTGCAACGTCGGAACCATCGCGGGACCAAACTGGAACCACGCAGGAGCCCCACTTGCAGCGCCGGAGCCTTCGTGTGGAACCACGCTGGAACCCAGCAGGGATCCGGTGTACGGTGAGGACATTGGCTAAGGAACCATTGGATAAGGAGCCCAGAGTCTGGAAGCGGGTTGAACTCTAGCCACTGAGTGGCCATGGATATCACCGCCGCCCTCGTCAGCTAAGGAATCCTTTAGGGTCTGAACCTGAGACGATCCTGCTCCTCCTCCTCCTCCTCCTCCTCCTCCTCCTCCTCATCCTTCCTTCCCCTCCCCCAAGTGTCCCTCCTGGGGTTCTCACAGCAGCCTGGGAACACATCGTCCAGCATCCTGCCCAGGCTTTGGCACAGCGTCTGGCCACGCAAGCGCCTCCAATAGGGGTGGGTCGGCGGTGGCTCGCAGTGGGCGTCTTCGATATAGCCCACGGGAGTTGATCGAGGCCAAATAGTTGAGTGCCGTTGTCGAGCGGCCAAACCCAGTAATACCTGATATCAAATGTATGGTACGTCTGGGATGTTCACCAAGTGAACGTTTCAACCACTTCTCCAATTCTGGATGTGAACCTGTGCCTCTGGTGCCAGAGGGGTACTCCGAAAGGTGCTGTCTCATGGGCCGTCGCAAAGCGTGCTTTAAGTATTGTGAGTGGAACCACTGGGTGCGACGTGCAAACACAACTCCTCCGAACACCATGAACGGCAGCGTTCGAGACACGACAATCGTGGCTGTTCGGTCGCTTGTGTCCCCATGTGGTTGCTCCATCGTCGAAACCTTGTCACGACTGAAGAGGATCGGGAGTCAATGCAAATCACATCCTACATCAGAGCAATAATGCCTCGAACATGACTACACGATGCCAATCCTATTAGAGCCAGCATGGCTCTGGGAGCTGAGCGGAAACTCCGATTGCTATCAGCGCTTCTGGCTTCATGGTGATTCTGGTGACCACGCCAACGTGAACACTACCCATTCGGGTGACTATCAGTTGGCGTACTTAACCACATCTGCACAATTGTTGGCATGCGTCTGCAAATCTGAATACATGGATGGCCTCATTAATGGGCGATGGAGGATTTGTTCTTCCCTGCGGGAACCCGTATCGCACAATTGATGAATGCGGGGAGCTGCCCGAATGTTTAATATGGCGACGTCGACTGCGGCTGCGAGTGGGAGTCAGCCTCCTGGCGCGGGCTGGGATTAGTTCGTTTGAGCGGGAGGGGCGGGGCGGTTGGGAAGCAGGGGGGTGGGGAGGGGTGTTCACTCGTGGACAGGATTGCCTGCTATTTGTGCGCATTGGTGTACACATGCACGTGGCAACGAACTGTGTACGTACAAGAACGCACACACATATTGACTCACAAACAAGTGCAGCATTACACCTGCACGTGCAGGCAAAGTGATAACGTACTTCACTAAACTTTGGCATTGGAAATTCGCCGGCCCAACGGGCCAAGGGCTTGCTAAGATCTCCAGCAACTGGTTAACAATATCTATAATTTTCGCGCTCGCGGGGCCGCCTTTGGGGGTCCCCGGACGAAAAGTACCCCGGCAGGGTCCCGAGCAGGTCCTGAGCAGGTCCCGAGCTGTGGTCCCGAGCAGGTCCCGAGCAGGCCCCAGCAGGCTCCCAAGAGCGCTCCAGGAGCGCTTCAGGTGGCCTCCAAGAGAGCTCGACATGGTCCGAGACGGTCCAAGAGCGATCTAAGATGCCAAGGATGGCCTCCAGACAGCCCAAAGCGCCTTCAAGACGCCCCAAGTGGGCTCCAAGAGACCTCCCAAGAGGGCCCACAGAGACAGAGATTTGTTATACTCCCCCAGTTTTTGAAGGTTTTTGGCGTTCTCGTCTTTTCAGCTTACCGGGGCTGTCAGACGGCCCAAGAGGCGGCTTCCAGGATCGCCCCAACACGGCCCAAGAGGCCTCCAAGATCGCCAAAAACGGCCCCAGAGGGCCCAACGACAGCCCCAGAGGCCTCCAAGATGGCCGAGGAGGCTCCCAAGACGGCTCCAAGAGCGGGCCCAGACAGGGAACCCGAACGGACATTTCGAGCTCTCGGTCCCAAGAGGCGCCCATGAAGCCCCCAGAGGCCCCCGAGAGCACCCCAAGAGGCCACAAGAGGCCCCCAAGAGGCACCAAAGAGGCACCCCAAGACTCCCAACGGGTCCCCAGGAAGCCGCAATGGGCCCCCAAGAAGCCCCCGAGAGGCTTCCCAGAGGCCTCTAAACTGCTCCCCAGACGCTCCCTCCGAAAAGACCCCAAGAAGCATTCATGAGGACTTTGACCCACAACCCATGTGCGTCTCCAAACTCTGCTTGAGCTCTCTTGAGCTATCTTGGCGCTCTCTGCGGCAGTCGATCGGCTCTCTTCGACAGGGTGCGAGCCACATCTCCAAAGATCTCCTCGAAGACCGCCCTGCCTGCCCCATCGTTCTCCCTGGGCATGATCACACCACCACGCAGCCACAGTGATGCGAAAAGGGCCGGCGGAATGAGCGAAGCGATTAAATAAGGTCTCCGCCGAATCCTCTGACACCCTCCAACGGCGACAGGCTCCTCCTCCTCCTCCGACGACGATGATGACTACGACGGCGAAGAAGACGACGACGAAGACGACCACGACGAAGACGACGACGACGCAGACGACGACGACGACGAAGACGTTGACGACGACTACGCAGACGACGACGACGACGACGGCGACGGTAGAAAACAACAACGACGACGACGATGACGACGACGACGACGACCACGACGACGACGACCACGCCGCCGACGACGACGACGACGACGACGACGACGACGACGACGACGACGACCACGACCACGACGACGACGACCACGACGAGAACGACGACGACGACGAGAATGACGATGACGACGACGATAACGATAACGAGGATCATCGTCATCGTCATCGTCATCGTCATCGAGCGGTCACGTCAGGTGCAGGTCCCGCGGGGCGGCCTGACGGGCGGTCTGGCGCTGCTGCGGCTTGGGGAGTCGCGCGGCGCTGGCGGTGCAGCCGGTGGCCTTCCTGGCGACCTTGGGGCCGAAGCGCCCGAAGACGTGGGACTCGCAGCTGGGCCTCCAGGTGACCTCAGGCGCGTTGCTCGAGGTGGAGCAAGAGCTGGTGGTGCAGCTCGGGGCGCTGAGGCTGCTGCCGCTGGCCTTCCCGGCGAAGCCGGTGCCGATGCGCCCGATGGCGACCTCCAGACGACCTCCGACGTGCTGGTGGAGGCGATGGACGTCTCTTGGAACGTCTCTTGAGGTGGGGGGGGCGCCCGTGGCGCCCCCCCACCTGGTGGAGGCGATGGAGGAGGAGGAGGAGGAGGAGGAGGAGGAGGAGGAGGAGGAGGAGGAGGAGGAGGAGCTGGTGCAGGACCCGTCTCTGGCGGGGGGGCGCGGTCGGCCGAGTCGGGAAGCTGCACGGCCTCTGCAGGCAGCCCCGGGTGCCCCGAGCGCAGCCGAGGGCGCCGCCGGAGCCCACGCGGTGCACAGGCGCCTGGCCGAGGCCAGGGCGGAGGCCGCCGCAGCCGCCGCCGCCGCGGAGGATCTCGAGCGATCCCGCCCTCCATGGCGTCTCTCCCTCGGCGATCTTCGTGCTGCTGCCGCCGCCGCGGCTGCCGCCGGCGGCGGGGGCTTGGGTGGCCGCTGGTGGTCGTGATGTTTGCCACCTGGTCTGAGGACAGCCACGATTCGCAGGCGTTGTCCGCGGTTCTCGTGATGGTCTTCGTGGGTGCTGTTCGCATTCGCGCTCGACCTCCCCTACTGAAGGGTGCTTTGGGACGACTGTGGACGCTCAGAGGGTTGTTTTCAAATGGGGCACTTCCCGCAGTGAAAATCAGTTCTTGCAGGGACCTATGAACAGCAAACTTGGAGGAGGGTTTGATTGCAGCATCGTTGATGCGCCTTAGGTTTACACCAGTCCCCCTTCTCCTCCTCCTCCTTCTCCTCTGGCTCCTCCTCCTCCGACGACGACGACGACGTCGACTCCTCCTACTCTTCCTCCTTCTCCCCCTCCCCCTCCTTCTCCTACGACGTCGACGACGACTCCGACGACGACGACGACGACGACGACGACGCCGACGCCGACGCCGACGGCGACGACGACGACGCCGACCACGCCGCCGACGACGACGACGACGACGCCGACGCCGACGACGCCGATGGCG